GGGAAAATGGGAAAGTGGAAAGGTGAGAAAGTGGGAGAGTGGAATGGTGAGAAAGTGGGAAAGTGGGAAAGTGGGATAATGTGAAAGGTGAAAGGTGAGAAAGTGGGAAAGTGGAAAGGTGAGAAAGTGGGAAAGTGTGAAAGTGGGAAAGTGGGAAAGTGAGAAAGTAGGAAAGTGGAAAGGTGAGAAAGTGGGAAAGTGGGAAAGTGGGAAAGTGGGAAAATGTGAAAGGTGAAAGGTGAGAAAGTGGGAAAGTGGAAAGGTGAGAAAGTGGGAAAGTGGGAAAGTGGGAAAGTGGGAAAGTGAGAAAGTAGGAAAGTGGAAAGGTGAGAAAGTGGGAAAGTGGGAAAATGTGAAAATGTGAAAGTGGGAAAGTGGGAAAGTGGGAAAGTGGGAAAGTCGGGTTGATATAAAATAGCACTTGACTCCCGAATTCCCTTGGTGTAGACAAGTCCCGTACCTCAGAACTACAACGGTCTATCTGCACAGTATTTCGTTTTGAGAAATTTGAAGTAAAACATTTTTGAGTTTCATATCTCGTCCAAGTTTTTATTTAATTTTTTGAATGCAATTCTTTGAATAAGCTTAATATCTTGATGACAACTCCGAATAATCTTAAGATTTCCATAGAGCAGATAGAACATATGAGAGGCAGCGTGGTGGAATCAGGCTCTCGTCAAAATAATCTAAGTGAAGAAACTTGCATTTTTCTGCAGGTTTGTGAATTTTTATCAAAATTTAGTTTTTTGGCTCAAAACCTTTCATGCCCATTAAAGAATTCATTTCTGTGTGGATTTTTCTTAAAAACGTTGATAGAAGGCACAAAAAATCTAAATCTTCAGTTACCACGGACTCTAAAGCTAAGTAAGTAACTAATCTTTGCCGGTTATTTTCTCACTAAGTTTACCTCTGAAAGCAGGTGACCCCCACCTCCTTCTGTCACAATTATCTCGACTTGTGTTTAAGATAAAGGGATATCTTTTTCAACCAAATAAAGACAAGTGAACAAGCCTTAAGATGATACCAATAACTCTACATGCCCAAAAATTGACGAGAGCCTGATTCCACCACGCTGCCTCACATTTGGTTTCTGACCTCGTGGTGTTGGTAACTTAAAAAGTCCCAAAATGTCAGATAGAACGTAGCAATTCTGAGTCAGCGAAACACGACATTGACAAAGAAAATATCGAGTTGTTTCAAGGATGACTTTATTGATTCTCAAGGGGGCTGGTTTCGATGACAACTGGGGGATCATCCTTAGCGGTGACACACGTCAATGAAACAGGAAACGTTATAACAGTTAGTTCATGAAACCATAGGTTCGGATTAGAATCTCCTAGATCAACTACTGTCATGGCCGACACGTTTTGCTCTCTCTATATATATGTGAGGTGTGCTGACAAAATGAGTTACTTCTCGCAATCTACAAGGAGATATTGGCCAAAAATCGACACTTGGCTCAAATTGGTAGATTTTATATTGGTGCAATAATATTCTTTAAGTATAACACGCCTTTTATTTTTTTCCTACTGATAAATTGTAAAAACATCACCCATAAGCGTGACGTGTCTATTTCTACAGGGTTTGAATCTGAGAAGTAACTCATTTGTCTGCACGCTCCACATTATAAAGACTCCAACGATATATAATCTCCTAGACCAGACACTGTCATGGGGACACTTTGTACTCTGTCTATTTATAAAGACTTCAAAGATGTATGGTCACTTTTAAGGACAAGCGGGCTAACCCAGATTTCGCGGGTTTCCAGAAATCTTGAAATACACAAAAAGTGGGCATTGTCCTACCTATTGGGGAAGTTTGGTTTCATTGGTGTGTATATTTGTTTGGTTATAGAGAAAACTCTCCTTTACAGAAACTGAACAGGGGATCCAAAAACTTTACCTTCGAATTTCACAAAACAACTTTTTTCGGGATAGCCCCCTTGTGCTTAAAAGCGACCACATAATATCTTAGACCATGCCAAAGATAGTACATAACAAGATGGACCACTCCGCCCAAAAAAATGTCTGCGGAAGTCCGCTCATTGCTTCAGATGGC